GCAATATTAATAATGCCGAAATATCCGAAAAATCCATTATTCAAACAGATTATATTTGGGTCACGTGATTAATCGAAATCGCCTAACGACGAACGTTTTTCAATTAAAACGATCGAGTACTCCAACCTTTTTATTTAAGTCGATATCGCGACTAATAAAATAAATATGACCTTAAAAATAATATTCAATAAATAGATATTTCGAGAAATTCCATAAATCTAACGGGGCGTTACAGTCTTAGTCTAAGAACATTATAAGGTTGGGTTGCAGAAATCATGTGGGAGATGGTAGAGCTATACAGGTTTGGGACTCACATTGGATCCCTAGAAATCATAAGTTTAAATCAATTCAATACTTTAAAGGGGATAGGGATAACTTTCAGAGAGTGACAAATTTTATGCTTGATGGGGTAGAGAGTGGGACAAAAATCTTATATTTCAGACCTTTCGCATTGATGATTCCGAGTGCATTATTAAAATCCCTATAAGCTAAGTAGAAGTTAAGGATAAGCTCCTCCGGCATTGGTAAAAAAATGGTGATTACACTATGAAATCTGCATTTAGTATTCTCAAGGAACAAAGTTTGATGATGCAGGATACTGATGAGAGCAGTAACTCTAAGGAAGTGATGGAAAAAAATGTGGAAGTTCACCTGGAGACTACTTATCAAGAACAAAGTGGAAAATTTCCTGTGGAGGAGCTGGTACAACTTCTTGGGATCCAACAAACAGCTACAGAGCAAAGGGTTACAAGTTGAGGTAACCTGTGATATATGTGGTGAGAAGGAAGAAACCAGAGATCATATATTCTTTCACTGTCATAGAGCACTGAGATGTTGGAAACTGACTAGATTGCATTAGAGTGTGCAAAAAGAAGAAAATTCCAACTTCAGAGGGTGGTGGTAGGAGATTTGTACCTCACAGAAAGCCTCAAACATTATTGGCATAATCAGTCTCTCCATCTACCAATTATGATGGTTGTGGATGACTAGGAATTCATGGAATTCAATAAAGAATGGTGAGAGGAAAAACAAGTGGTGGGTGGAGCCATCAAGGAATGGTTGGAATATTTGGTTGTTAGTGAAAATCAACATTCCATGTGAAGTGCTGGGTGTAAAATTACACGGGAATCCTACGAACTGATATGTAATTTTCAGTTCTTACAAATAATCTAAAAATAGAAAATTACAATTGAACTAAAAAAAGAAAAAATTACAACTTAAAAACAGAACGATTTTAGCCGAGGCGAGTAAAACTCTTTCCGCAAGAAGAATACGCCACGTGTGGCGCTAATGGTTCAGGCGTAACTTTCCCAAAGATACAACGACAAATATCTCTAAATCTGTAGTATACCAAATTTACGAGCTCCGGCGAACTGGAACGAAGTCAAGAATTGAGCACTTAAAAATAGGAATAAATATATCTCTCTGATAATATTTTTTTATTATTCTCAATAATATTTTTATCCCCCAAATATTACCAAACAGGTTTTCCAGC